GGGAGCCGATCAATGATTCTCTCTCATCATTGATGTTTCTATCTCTCTCTCCCTCTCCCTTCCTCTCTGAAATCAATAAAAATATATTAAAATATATATATTTAAAAAATACCATCTTTTCTAAATAAAGAGGACAAGACTATAAAACACTAAAGCTATTCAAGTATTTTAGACTACCTGATGATATAACACAAATAGCCACAAATAAAATCCAAATTCCTATCCAAACACTGCCAAAGCATGTACATTTCTAAAGTGTATAAACACATGTCCCTGTTAAACCACAACCAAAACATTCAAACCTGTTCCTTCCTGTTCTGAATAGGAAAGCAACTGGTTATCAGCAATTTATCTCTGGTTCAGTCAGCAAAAGCACACATTCTGCCCACTCCTTTACACAGTAAAGTATTTAAAAATGAAAACGCAATCAACTGCATTTAAGGAAAAATAATAAAATAAAAATGCAATTTAGCATAATGCTGACACATTGTAAGAATTCAAGTCCCTGAAAACTTGAATTCTCAAAGTGTTTACTGAAGCAGAAGTATACAAATGAATAACATTTTCAACATATTCAGAGGTAAAAGGATTTCTAATGTGCTAATTAAATGTTAAAGACTAAGTCAGAATTACTAGAATATTCTGCTTAATCTGGATTTTACCATAAATGCACATATATACATACATAATGCACAAATTAGCTTAAGAGTAACATTTCATATCTTAAATGTTTAGAACTGATAATATCATTTTCAAACATAATACAGCAGGTCCTGGGGTTATGTCCGAGATCTGTTCTTATGGCCCGTAAGTCGGAACTCACCTACATAGTCACCCACGTCACTTACATGGAGCACATACACAGCAGTAATGAAGTGAAACAGTAAAAAAAAATTTAAAAGAAAGATAACAATTCCTGACCTTTACTTGTGGCAAATAAATAATAAAAAACATAAAGCACTTATGTACATGCGTCAAAATGGAACTTTTTTTTTATTATTAAATATATTTTATTGACTTTTTTACAGAGAGGAAGGGAGAGAGATAGAGAGTTAGAAACATCGATGAGAGAGAAACATCGATCAGCTGTCTCCTGCACATCTCCCACTGGGGAGGTGCCCGCAACCCAGGTACATGCCCTTGACCGGAATCGAACCTGGGACCTTTCAGTCCGCAGGCCGACGCTCTATCCACTGAGCCAAACCGGTTTCAGCGGAACTTTTTTTTTAAATAAATAAATGGGAGATGGTGACGTAACCATGAAACGACATACATCGAGTCCGAAGTAACCCGAGGACTGTCTGTAGTGTTAAAAAGTGATGTTATTACTAACTCATATAACTGAAATCATCTGTCAAAAAACTTAAAGCATAAGAATTATACAGGGGCCCAGCCACTGGGCTCAGTAGTTGAGCATCAATCTATGAACTAGGAGTTCATGGTTTGATTCCCAGTCAAGGCATTTAATTCCCGTTTTCACTTGATCCCCAATGGGGGGGGGGGGCATAAAGAGGCAGCCAATCAATAGTTTTCTCTCATCATTGATGTTTCTAATTCTCCCTTACTCTCTGAAATCAATAAAAATATATTTTAAAAAAAGAATTATACATGGTGGAGCAAAAGTAGGTTTATAGTTTGTATAAAAAATACAATAATCCTATATAATAAAAGCCCAGTGACTAACAGCGGAACGACCAGAACGACTAGTCGACCAGTCACTATAACGTGCCCTGACCACCAGGGGGCAGATGCTCAATGCAGGAGCTGCCCTCTGGTGGTCAGTGCGCTACCCCAGTGGGAGTGCCGCTCAGCTGACTGGGATGAGCAGCTGCTCCCGCTGCAAACCCTGGGCCAATGGGCAGGAACCCGGGCTGTGATCGTCGCCTCCTCGCCCCAGGCTCCTTCTCCTCATAGAGCTGACCCCTGAAGCTAGGAGGCGGGTTCGTGGCCACTGTGGGACTGAGGCCTACTCCACTGCCTTTCAGTGCTATTGTCCCTGGGCCCGGCCCTGACCGGGTCCCCTGGAGAGGCAAGTGCGAGTGACACTGGGCAAGGCTTCTTAGCCTCATCTGCCAGACGATGGGCCTCTATGTCCAGGTCTCCAGGCGCAGGCTCCCTCTTCTCCCCCAGACAAAGGGTTATAACTACCCACGCATAGAGGCTTCTTTCTGTCGCTTGCTTGCTGTTTGTGGGGAAGCTGGATGAAGTAGAAGCCCCTGGGCTGTCTTCTTCCTGGCATGGCCTCTGTAGCATTTCCCCTCTTGCATGCAGCCCCACATTTCAATCTTCCTTCCCCTTTTCTCTTCCTCAAGCTGTCATAGTTTCTCCTTGTGCCTTTCCACTTGGGCACTTAATTCTTCCTGCATTTTCAGGCGAACAGCTGCTAAAGCCTCCTGTCGTCTCACATCATCAGGTTCCACACCAGCTGCCGCCCTGTCCAGCTGCCTCTGCCTGGAGGCCCTCAGGCGGGCAGAAAGCTTCTGAAAGACTGCCAACAGGAGAATGCAGCCGAAGACCATGTACTAGCTGAAGACCATGTACCAGGCGTAGGCAGCGAGCAGGGAGCCCACAGTGACGTGCAGGAAGCGCAGTCCCTCTGACTCCAGAGCCCGATGCAATGACACCACTCCCTGACTTGCTCTATGGTGGCCACAGTGCTGCCAGATCACGCCATGTCAGCTCCGGCTTCCGGCTTCTGGCTTCCTGCCCCTACCCCTACCTAATTAATTTCCTTTCAATGTGCATGAATCTGTGCACCGGGACACTAGTTAATAAATCCTATAGAATGAAGAGCTAATATGCAAATGGTCACCACGCCCTCACGCCATCACAGCTCAGACACTTAACTCTGGGGAGAAAGGAATGGGGGCCGGCAAGGCACAAATGAGCTCACGAGAGAGGAATGGGGACCAGCCAGGCACAAATGAGCTTGTGAGAGAGGAATGGGGACCAGCCAGGCTGTGGCCTGGGAGAGGGATAAGCCACCCCCTCCGTGGTCCTGGGCACCTGCAGCTGCAGCCCGGGCGAAGCCGCCTGCCCACAGTCCCCTGTGGCTGCGGCCCGCCCGGGCAAAGCTGGCCGGGTCCCGGGTGCCTGTGACCGGCCGGAGGAGGGAATCCTGGGTCCCGGGTGCAGGGCGAGGCAGAGGCGGTTAGGGGTGATCAGGCCAGCAGGGGAGCAGTTATGGGCGATCAGGCAGGCAGGCAGAGGTGGTTAGGGGCGATCAGGCAGGCAGGGAGAGGGGTTAGGGGCAATCAGGCAGGCAAGCAGGCGAGCAGTTAGGCGCCACTGGTCCTGGATTGCGAGAGGCAGTCGGACATCCCCCAAGGGACCCCCCTCCCATGCATGAATTTTGTGCACTGGGCCTCTAGTAATAATTTAAGAATAAACTCTGTGTTTTGCGTACTCACAACTGTAAACCTTTTGCCCCACTTGTAGTGGAAACAATTATTTAAGAGAATGGCATTTGTTTCTTAGATTTAGCCTCTATTTCCAATATCATACTCTGTCATATTTCCCTATATCTGTTTCTAATGAATGTTATATAACATCTCAACCATATTAGTAACAATTTTTAAAGCTCAGTCTCACTTACTGTGGATTCCAAATTGTCCATCGTCAATAATAATTTCACTTTCTAGAATTGAAGGAAAATAGAAAACCTAGTTAAAATTCACAATGTATATGGACAACTGAGAGATTACCCACCTTAAGCATTTTTAAAAATATGAAATCTAAAATTTTAAAGCAGCCCAAAGTGAATAAGCATATTTATTGTAGCCCTCAATAAAGAATTCCCTTTTAAGAAGGCTATCAAACAATCAGTTCTTACATACTCAGTGATTATTCAGATGTTACAAGGAAGAGAAAGAGGACTCCTCAGATGGTGCTCTAGAGGCACTGGGACAAACTTCACCCACAATTTGTGAGCCTGACAGATTGCTGGACAACAGTATCTCCTGGTTCATTTTTCAAACCAAAGGTTTTGGCACAATTAAAATGCTTATTCTTATGTAATGCATTTTCTGAACTAATCTAAAATGTAATTCTCCTCAAATCTCCACTATTCTCAATAGCCAACTAAAAGCTTTACAAACAGCGTAAACTTACCTGTATACTCAGAGCTGTGAGGAACTATCAAAAGAGTAAGTTCTAGCACATGCCCTTCTAACAGAAATTTAAACTAAATAGATAAGCTACTAAGCCCCACCTTCTGAATAACATACTAATTCCCTGCTCTTTCCTTTCCTGTTTACTTTACACATAGGTCTGAAATATTTGTCAAAATTAATGTGATAGTTCCCAAGGAAGATTCTCTGACAGATTTCATGGAGCTCTTAAGTTTAGAGCATCTATTTTTCAGATATAAATTTCTTTTTAAAAGATCAGAAACATAATCATCCCACTTCTCACAATAATAAAATATATTTAACTGCAAGATGCTTCAAAAGGCAAATTATTTTAAACTACTCATACCTAATAATTTCCAACCTCAGTATAGAACTATTATAATTCTGAAATATGCTATCAGAAAAATCCTAAATATAATATCAAAAATGTATTAAAACATATAAAAAGAAAATTCAATAAAGAGGATGGAATGAGATAGCTGTTTAAACAAAACCTGTCTACTATAGGGTAAAGCAGAATCTCTCACTACTTTCTAAGCTGGTAACTAGAAAGCCAATTATTATCTTTACATTCTAATTTTCCTTAGACACTGAAAGATGCATTTCTCAGCAATGAGTCAATTTAAAGATGAATCGATAATTTAATGTATGTGAAATAAACTTCAAGTTTTAATCTTAGTATGGAAAAGGAAATTAAAAAAATACTTGTATGAAGAGAAATGCCTTTTTAGGCATAATAAGAAAACGGAATAATGTTTTTTATAAATTGATCTGAATATCAATTTTAACATAGCCAGCAAGGTACTTAAGTAAATAAGGAGGAAAATATGTCTGCTACAACCAAGAAATTTGAATTTATTCATACAAATTTATTCAAGTATTTACTATTTAAAAATAAAAAACCAGAATAAATAGAATAACTTGCTCTATTCTCACTAAAGTTAAAAATGTAAGAACCTTTGTTTTTGCCCTGGCTGGGTAGCTCAGTTGGTTAGAGCATCATCTTGATATCCCAAGGTTTTGGGTTTGATCCCTAGTCAGGGCAGGTACAAGAATCAACCAATGAATGCATAAATAAGTGGAACAATAAATCAATTTCTCTCTTTCCTTCTCTCTCTCCTTTCCTCTTTCTCTAAAAGAAAAAGAAATTCTCTAAATTATCTGAGCAAGTAATCAATAAAGCCATGGACGCTCAGCAAAGAATGTTACTTTGTAAACTTTGTCACTACTCCAAATAAAAAGTCTACAATAAATTAATCTAACCCTTCAAAATAAAAATAATTAAGCATTTCTAATAGTTTATAGAGAAAGGCAATTAAGAACTATTTAGTTTTGAAAGTAAGATTCATGATATGCTAAGTGAAAATTGACCTTAAACTTTAGAATAAAAATTTATTAAATCCCACTAAGCCATTGTGCAGCATATTAGTAACTTATGCATATGCCTCAAACAGATGCAGTTAATGCCCATACCTAAAGGGGTTATTGATCGTGGTTGTAGATGAGTCTCCCACTTGTGAACTATGACTTGACATGGACCACCGATAGTCTGCAATTTAAAAGTTAAATGTCTGCAATAATTTCTTATATCTTATATTCTACCCATGACTCCATTAGATGTTTGTGGCCTAAATTAATACTACATATGAAACCAAAAGATTCATCCTGTTAATTATCAATATTATACGCCCCTAATCAGGAATGTACTAGGTCACAAATCATGATGAGTGCTGCAAGAAAATGGGGATGAGAGAGTAAACAAAGAAAAATGGGATGAACTGGTACATAAAACTCATTCTTAAATCTGCCTACAATACTCGATTTTTTCCAAAGAAATTTTAATTTTTAACTGATATTCTGTTCTAAGTTAAAGTTAACCATAAATATAGTTTATGTTTGGTATATCAGCCAGTCAATGGGGTGTGTTACTGGGTAAAGCATCTCATCTTAAGTAACTCTTAAGGTGTTTGGATAAAGCCTAAACTCTATGACCATAGGAATAGTAGAAACAAGTACTTCAAGACCAACTATCACAAGTTACTCAAGAAATGTGAGGACATAATACAGTTCTTTACTATATACATTTAAGAATAGTAAGTAGATAACAGGAAGAACATCAGATTTCTCCTATCACAGTAACCAATGTTTCTAAAGAGCACAGGAAACCCTAAAAGAAAGGAGACACACACGGGTAAATTTGAAGAACAAATTTGATAAAAGTGAAACTAACATCCAGTTTTACTTTTTTATGCCTTTGAGTTTCTAAATTCATAGTGTGATAACTCCTAATATTGTTCCCTATTATCAAGTTCTTTTACTAAGAAAATAAAACTTTATGTCAATAACATCTACACAATTTTTAAAACAAGAATGAACCTACCAACAAAGATTTCCGACATATAAGAGACTGAAGTATTAAATGCTTCCTAATTATCCTTTAATTACTTTTTAAATGACTAATTAAACTTATGTGTCAAAATGAAACCCTTAAATACATATTTTAAAAGCAAATTTTGACTGTAACCTTCATGTCTTCTGAAAAAATGTAGTAAAATACAGGGATGCAAAAAGGAAAAAAAAAGTCACCCATTATCACACCACTTAGGGTTAATTATTATCAACATTTTCATACATAATCCTTAAGCCCTTTTCTAGGCATATCTAAACATACTATTAAAAAGCCTAAAACATGTAAGCTTCTCTCTATATATTATACATCTTTAGATGGCATTAAATACTCTCCTATAACACGTTATAGGATTTCAATGTTGATATTTTTTAAAAAGTCGCCAAGTGATAACAAATAAGTAACAGATTAGGCACATTAGGTAATTAAACACAAGAGATAATTCTGCCACTTAAAATAACCAGAGAGCCTGGCTGGTATGGCTCAGTAGTTGAGCATCGACCTATGAACCAGGAAGTCACTGTTTGATTCCCAGTCAGGGCACATGCCCAGGATGCAAACTCGATTCCCAGTAGGTGGTGTGCAGGAGGCAGTCAATCAATGATTCTCTCTCATCTTTGATGTTTCGCTCTCCCTCTCCGAAATCAATAAAAATGTATTTTTGCCCTAGCCTGTTTGGCTCAGTGGATAGAGCATCGGTCTGCAGACTGAAGACTCCCAGGTTTGATTCTGGTCAAGGGCACATGCCAGGGTTGCAGGTTCAATCCCCAGTTGGGGGCGTGCAGGAAGCAGCCAACCAATGATCATCTAGTCAAGGGCATGTATGTTGGTTGCAGGCTCGATCCACTGTAGGGGGCATGCAGGAGGCAACTAATCAGTGTTTCTCTCTCATAGATGTTTCTAACGTTCTATCCCTCTCCCTTCCTCTCTGCTGAAATCAATAAAAATATTTTTAAATAATAATAAAAAATAAATAAAATAAACAATAAAAATATTTTTAAAAAATAAAGTTTAAAAATCTTTTTTAAACTTGCAAACTTTTGGAATTTGAAAACTAAAATAGCACTAGATCCTCATTCAAATCACTTATCCTAGGGTAATACGAAAAATGCTTATGTTCTCTTGACAAATACCTTCT